AAAAAAGAAAATGAAAATTAATACAAGAGCTGCGGCCGACAAAAGGAGCCATTTGTCTTTCTTGATTATCTATTTGCTTGTCAGGCCCTGAGCTATGGCAGCAGCGGCTCCTTTTGTGCACCCCAAACCCACCCGGAACCCCCCGAACATCTGGGCCCAAATTGGACTCATTAATGCAGTAACTACCCGGAGAAGGAGGGATTTCAAACAAACAACAACAAAAACAAAAATAAAATCATGAAAAAAAAAAATAGAAATAAATAAAAGCGAAAAGATCTCGGGAGAAATCGGAGGCGGCAAAGCGTTAATGAGCGGCCGCGCTTGGGCTGGGGGTCGGAAAGGAGAATTAATCTGCGCTTTGAACAAATAAATCATCATATCTGGGGCTTAGCGCTGCCTTAGGGCCGCTCAAACATCTTTTGTTTTCATTAGGGCGCCGCTGACAACGAAAAAAAAAGCCCGAAAAGAATCACCCGAAATTGCAAATAAAGCGATTTGTTCGCGGCCCGCAATAAATGTGGTTATTTTGTGGTTATTTTTGCACCCCATAAATAACCCCGGCCCGGCCTCGCCCCCCCCGAAGAACCACGCAGGGGCAGCTTTGGGATCGAATTTATTTCTGAGCAGCGGTTTTGGGGGTTTTTGGGGCGTTTCCAGGTGAATCCGGACAGCCCCGAGCACAAAGGGGGCGGAGGAGGCGGGACAGGCCCGAATTCGCATTTTCAGCCCCAAACCGGGGCAGGGAGGAGCTTTGGGGTGCTCCCAGTTCATCCAGTTCATCCAGTTCATCCCAGTTCATCCCAGTTCATCCCAGGTTCCCCTTCCCTCCCCACCCCCTCACTCACAATGAACCTGCTGGGTTCCCAAAAAACCCCAAATAAACCCCAAAAAAAAGGGTCTGATCCCACTCCATTCCCTTCTTTGTCCAACACCTCCTTGACCAAACTCTCGTTTTTTAAATTTTTTTTTTTTCTCCCTGATATCGCAAAGTTCTCAACTCCCCAGAGGAGATTTTGGGGTTTTTTGTTGAGTTTTGGTCGATTTTTTTGGATTTTTTTTTCCTCTCTGATTTCGTCTCTTTGGGACAACGGGGCAGAAACTTCGGGGGTTGGGAAGGAAAGAGAGGAGGGGAAGGAGGAAGGGGGAGAAAATTGATAAAGAAATGGGAAAAAAAAAGGGAGAAAAAGGAAAATAAAGAAGGAAAAACAAAGGGAAAAGAAAGGGGAAAGAAAGGAATTAAAAAAGGGGAAGATAAGAGGGGAAGAAGGAGGGGGGGAAGAAAACTGATAAAGAAAACTTTTATAAAGGGGGAAAAGCAGAAGAAAGAGGAAGAAAGGCAAAAAAAAACAAAACAAAGAAAAACAAAGAAAAAAAGAAAAAAGAAAAAAGAAGGGGAAAAAATGACAAAAAAATATTTTTTAAGAAGATGGGGAAAAGGGGGGAAAAAGAAAAGAAACCAAGAAGAAAAAGGGAAAAAAAGAAGAAAAAAAAAGAAAAAAAATAAAAATAAAGGGGGATAAAGGAGGGCAAAAAAAAGGGAAAATGAAGGGAAAAAAAAAATAAAAATGGAGGAAAAAAAAAAGGCCAAAAAGGGGGTGGAAAACGCAGTTGTGGGGAAGGAGCTGAGGCTCATTTATTACAGCGGGCGCTGCTGTCGGGGTAATAGCAGACATAAGGTCCGTCCTTTGTACGGGAGAGTAAACATGACAAATGGGGCCGGGCTCGGCCTGATTAAAGATGAAACAAGGATCCATCGCAGCCAAATCCCAAAAAAAAACCCCGAGCAGCCTCCCCTTCCCCGGGCTTTGTGCTCAGCTGAGCCCAGCGCCGGGCCCAGCGCTGCAGAGCGGGGTAAAAATCACCAAAATTCAAATTATTGGTGGGAATAACCAGCACCTGCCTGGCCCCGCGCTTCGGATCGGGGTAAAAACCACCAAAATTCAATTATTGGGGGGAAGACCAGCACTCGCCTGTCTATGTGGGTCAGATTGGGGTAAAAACCATCAAAATTCAAATTATTGGGGGAGAAGAACCAGCACCCGCCTGGCCCCGTGCTTCGGATCGGGGTAAAAACCACCAAAATTCAAATTATTGGGGGGAAAGAACCAGCACTCGCCTGGCCCCGCGCTGCGGAGCGGGGTAAAAACCACCAAAATTCAAATTATTGGGGGGAATGACCAGTACCCGCCTTTCTATGTGGGTCAAATTGGGGTAAAAATGATCAAATTCAAATTATTGGTGGGAATTACCAGCCCCTGTCTATGTGGGTCAAATCGGGGTAAAAATGATCAAAATTCAAATTATTGGGGGGAAGAACCAGCACCCACCTATGTGGGTCAAATCGGGGTTAAAAACCATCAAAATTCAAATTATTGGGGGGAATAACCAGCACTCGCCTGTCTATGAGGGTCAAATGGTGTAAAAATGATCAAAATTCAAATTATTGGGGGGAATAACCAGCACCCGCCTGGCCCCGTGGTTCGAATCGGGGTAAAAAACGATCAAATTCAAATTATTGGTGGGAATAACCAGCACCCGCCTATGTGGGTCAAATCGGGGTAAAAATGATCAAAATTCAAATTATTGGTGGGAATAACCAGCATCCGTTCTATGTGGGTCAAATCGGGGTAAAAAAGATCAAAATTCAAATTATTGGTGGGAATGACCAGCATCCGCCTGTCTATGAGGGTCAAATCAGGGTAAAAACGATCAAAATTCAAATTATTGGGGGGAATAACCAGCACCCGCCTATGTGGGTCAAATTGTTGTAAAAATGATCAAATTTCAAATTATTGGTGGGAATAACCAGCACCCGCCTGGCCCCGTGGGTCAAATGACATAAAAATGATCAAAATTCAAATTATTGGTGGGAATAACCAGCACCCGCCTGTCCCTATGGTTGAAAACAAAAATTTTCAGATGATTGGCCATAAATAACGAGCACCCGGCCTGTCCCCGCTGTTCGGATCAGTGTAAATAATGACAAAAATTAAAATTCTCCATTTCCCGCTCTGCACACCCCAAACACGCACGCACATCCATGGGGGCGGTATAGGGCAGCAGCCGCTCTGTGGGATCGGGTTTGGGATCTTCCTCCATGTGGGACCAACTTTGGGATCCTCCTTCGTGTGGGATTTGAGTTTGGGATCCTCCTCCCTGTGGGATTGGCCTTTGGGATCCTCCTCTTGTGGGATCTCGGTTTGGGATCCTTCTCCTTGTGGGATTTGAGTTTGGGATCCTCCTCCATGTGGGATTTGAGTTTGGGATCCTCCTCCTTGTGGGATCAAGTTTGGGATCCTCCTCGTGTGGGATTTGAGTTTGGGATCCTCCTCCTTGTGGGATCTCAGTTTGGGATCCTCCTTGAGGATTTGACTTTGGGATCCTCGTCCTTGTGGGATTTGAGTTTGGGATCCTCCTCCTTGTGGGATCGGCCTTTGGGATCATCCCTGAGGTATTTGAGTTTGGGATCCTTGTGGGATCAACTTTAGGATCCTCCTCCTTGAGGGATGTGACCTCGGGATCCTCCTCATTGTGGGATCTGCTTTCAGGATCCTCCTCATTGTGGGATCTGTGTTTGGGATCCTCCTCTTTGTGGGATGTAACTTTGGGATCCTCCTCCTTGTGGGATCTCGGTTTGGGATCCTCCTCCTTTTGGGATCTGCCCTTGGGATCCTCCTTGTTGTGGGATCTGCCTTTGGGATCCTCCTCCCTGTGGGATCTGCCTTTGGGATCCTCCTCCCAGTGGGATCTGCCTTTGGGATTGGAGGAGGAGCTGACCCGATCTCGGCGTTGGGGGATGAGGAGCAGCCCCGCCTTTCCCCACGGCTCAAACAATCATTAAAATAATGATAAAAATTAAAATTCTCACATTTCCCTCCCTGCACCCGCACGGGGTCGCACCCCAAACTCGCACCTGCGTGCATGGGGGCGGTTACAGGGATCGAGTTTGGGATCCTCCTCCTTGTGGATCAGCATTTGGGATCATCCTCGAAGGATTTGGGTTTGGGACCCTCCTCCTTGTGGGATGTGACTTTGGGATCCTCCTCGTTGTGGGATTTGTGTTTGGGATCCTCCTCCCTGTGGGATCTGCCCTTGTGATCCTCCCTGTGGGATCTGCCTTTGGGATCATCCTCAAAGGATTTGAGTTTGGGACCCTCCTCATTGTGGGATGTGACTTTGGGATCCTCCTCCCTGTGGATGTGACTTTGGGACCCTCCTCCTTGAGGGATTTGAGTTTGGGATCCTCCTCCTTGTGGGATTTGCCTTTGGGATTGGAGGAGGAGCTGACCCGATCTCGGCGTTGGGGTGATGAAGAGCAGCCCCGCCTTTCCCACGGTTCAAATAATAATTTAAAATAATGATAAAAATTAAGATTAAAAATTAAAGTTATCGCGCTTCCCTCTCTGCGCTCGCACGAGTTCACGGCTCCGAACACGCACACGCATCCATGGGGGCGGTTTATAGGGTGGGGGCTGGTCCATGGGATCGAGTTTGGGTTCCTGCTCCTGGCGGGATCTGCCTTTGGGATCCTTGCAGGATCTGCCTTTGGGATCCTTGCTGGATCTGCCTTTGGGATCCTTGCTGGATCTGCCCTTTGGGATCCTGGCGGGATCTGCCTTTGGGATCCTGGCGGGATCTGGCTTTGGATCCTGGCGGGGATCTGGCTTTGGGATCCTCCTTGTGGGGACGTGACCCTGGGATCCTCCTCCTCCATGTGGGATCTGCATTTGGCTCCTCCTCCTTGTGGGATCTGCCTTTGGGATCCTCCCTGCAGGATCTGGCTTTGGGCTCCTCCTCCTTGTGGGATCTGCATTTGGGATCCTCCTTGTGGGATTTGTGTTTGGGATCCCCCCCTGCAGGATCTGCCTTTGGGCTCCTCCTCCTTGTGGATTTGCGTTTGGGATCCTCCTCCTCCTCCTCCTCCTCCTCCTCCTCCTCCTCCTCCTCCTCCTCCTCTCCTCCTCCTCCCTGCGGGATCTGCGTTTTGGGATCCTCCTTGCGGGGCCTGCAGGGCTGCGGAGGAGGAGCCGGACCTGACCTTGGTGTTGGGCAGTTTGTGATCCTTTTTCCACTTCATCCTCCGGTTCTGGAACCAGATCTTGATCTGGCGCTCGCTGAGGCTCAGGGCGGTGCGCGATCTCCAGGCGCCGGCGCCGCGTCAGGTACCGGTTGTAGTGGAACTCCTTCTCCAGCTCCCAGCACCTGCTGCCGCGTGTAGGCCGTGCGCGAGCGCTTGGGCTCCGCGCGCACAACCCGGGGGCCACTGCCGGGAATGGGGGGCACGGCGGGGGAAAAAAAGGGGGGAAAAAGAATGTGAGAATAATAATAAAAAAAAAATGGGGGAAATATGTGGAAATATGGAAAAATAATAGGGGGGGGATGCGTGGAAATACAAAAAAAAAAGTGAGGGGAAATAGTTTTAAAAAATGGGGGGAAAGATGTAAGGATGTTAAAAAAAATGGGGGAAATATGGGGAAATATAGAAAAATAATAGGGGAGGGAATGTGTGGAAATGCAAAAAAAAGTGGGGGGGAATATGGGGAAATAGTTTTAAAAAATGGGGGCGAAATTATGTGAAAGTACAAAAAATGGGGGGGGAATATGTAGAAATACAGAAAAAATAACGGGGGGGATGTGTGGAAATAGAAAAAAAAGTGGGGGGGAAATATGGGGAAGAATTTAAAAAATGGGGGTGAAAGATGTAAGGATGTTAAAAAAAATGGGGGAAATATGTAGAAATATAGAAAAATAATAGGGGAGGGATGTGTGGAAATATTTAAAAAAATGGGGGGTGAAAGATGTGAAAATACAAAAAAATGAAAGACGTGAACATACAAAAAAATGGGGGGGGAATATGTAGAAATATGGAAAAATAACGGGGGGGATGTGTGGAAATACAAAAAAAAGTGGTGGGGAAATATTTAAAAAAAATGGGGGTGAAAGATGTGAAAATAGAAAAAATGGGGGGGGGAATATAGAAAAATGGGGGGGATGTAAAAATATAGGAAAATGGGGGGGGAAAGATGTGGAAATATTTTAAAAAGGGGGAAATACAGAAAAATGGAGGGGAAAAAAGTGAAAATACACACACACACACAAAAAGGGGGAAATATTTGGAAATACAAAAGAATGGGGGGGGAGAATGTGAAAACATGAGGAAAAGAAAAGGGAGAATATATTAAAACACACAAAAGAAAGGGAAAAAAAAGGGAGAAAAGATGTGAAAACACACACAAAAAAGGGAAAAAAAAACGAGGAGAAAACACAAAAAAAAAGGAAAAAAAGGGAGAACAGGAGAACACACAGAAGAAAGGAGAAAACATAAGGAAAAATAAATAAAAAGGAGGGGAAAAAAAAGAAAAGCAGAATTACCGAGCCGTTCCTTTAATGGGTTCTTTCCCCCCTCCAAAAAATCACATTAAAAAAAAGAAGAAAAAGAAAGAGAAGAACCGTCACACATCCTTTGGAAGGGGAGATTTGCTTTTTTTAATAAAAAATAAATAAATAAAATGGAAAGGTTCTAAAAGTGCCCCGAAGCTCGAATCTCCGCCTCACGGTGGGCGCGGGGTTCCTGAAAAATTCGAGGTTTTCCCAGGGCCCCCCCCCGGCCGCGCTCCCCGCGCCCCGTGCGGGTGGAAATTCGCGGAATTACCGCCCGAAAGTTCCGCCTGCGCGCTGGGGCAAGGGGGCGAGCGCGGGGGCTGCGGGTTGGAAATGCCTCCTTTAAAAAATAAATAATAATTAAAAAAGGAAAAAATAAAAATAGAGAGATAAAAAAAACAGGAGGAAAAAAAGGGAGGGGGAAAGAAACTGAGGGGAAAAAAAATTGAGAAAAAAAAAAAAAAAAAAGAGGGGCAGGGGAGGGGAGGAAAACAGTAAAACTCCGCTCAATCCGCCACTTAAATACAAATTACCAAAACATAAAACTTCACTTAGGAAGATTCAACAGCCGTAAAAAAAAAAAAAAAAAAAAGGCAAAAAAAAAAAGGCAAAAAAAAAAAAGAAAAAAAAAGCAGCAAAGTAGCCTGGAAAGAAACCGGAGGAGGATGGTAACAGAGACTTCAAAGGCACATGGCCAAGCAGAGCAATAAAAATTTATGGAGGATGTAATTATAGCGCTCTGCAAAGCGGCGCTCGTAAATCTCCGCCGGGCGCTGCTTTCACGAGCCGTGCCCGGGCCGCGAGGCGCTGCTCCAACTATAAAGCGAAGCCCTTTTCCCTGCGCCCGCACTCACCCGAGCTTACGTGGGCTTTTTTTCATCCAGGGGTAGAGCACGGGCTCGGCGGGGGCCGCGGCTGCAGGCGGGGGCCGGGCTGGGGCTGCGCGGCCGCGGCTCGGCCGCTGCGCGGGGCGGCGCGGAGCCCGGGCACGGCGGGTACGGCTGCTCCGCGCAGGCGGCCCGCGGCTCGTGGTACATCGGCTCATGGTGGAAAGAGCTCTCCCGCTGGTGCCGCTGGCCGCCGTAGTATTCCGGCGAGTGATTGGGAAGGTAATCGCTGTGGGAATATTCTTCACAGGGTGGGAACTTGGGGTCCACGTAGTTGGAGTTGATCAGGAACGAGCTCATGGCCATGAATTCCTTGGAATGGCGCGCACGACGCGGGGGGAAGGAAAACAACTCTATCTATATCTATATCTGTAGATCTAATCTATATCTATATATATCTGTATCTATATATATATGGATGGATGTCCCTCTCTCCCTCCGTTCTCTTTCTCTGCTTAAAATTTATTCGTGCGCCCCCCAGCCCCCCCCGCCTCCCTTTGGTGCTTTTCCTGTTTGGCCGAACCCTCCTACTTTACTGTCAAGTGAACAAAGTTGGCTCCATGTGACAGCGCGGGCCAATGGCGAGGGCCACGCCGAGCCCCGGATAAGGAAAATGAGGAAACCTGCGCAGGCCGGGCTCTGCCGGGGCCCCCCGGCATCCCCGGGGAGGCGCTCGGGGGGCGCCCGCTGCCCTCCGGCCGCCCCCGGCCACCCCCGGCCATCCCCGTTCACCCTCGGCCACCCCCGTTCGCCTCCGTTCACCCCCGGCCGCCTCCGTTCACCCCCGTTCGCCTCCGTTCAGCCCCGGCCATCCCCGTTCAGCCCCGGCTGCCTCCGTTCACCCCCGTTCAACCCCGGCCGCCCCCGTTCAGTCCCGGCCGCCCCCGTTCAGTCCCGTTCACCCCCGGTCACCCCCGTTCGCCTCCGTTCGCCTCCGTTCGCCTCCGTTCGCCCCCGTTCAGTCCCGTTCACCCCCGGTCACCCCCGTTCGCCTCCGTTCATCCCCGGCCGCCCCCGTTCACCCCCGTTCACCCCCGGTCACCCCCGTTCGCCTCCGTTCAGTCCCGGCCACCCCCGTTCACCCCCGTTCGCCTCCGTTCACCCCCGGTCAGCCCCGGTCACCCCGGCCGCCCCTCGGGGGAGTGTCCCGGGCTGGGGGCTCCGCGTCCCCCGCTCAGGAAGGGAATAACGAGAGCGCGGCCCGGTACAAGCGAGATTTAAAAGCGGGATTTCGAAGCGGGATTTAAAACCGGGATTTCGAAGCGGAATTTCGAAGCGGGATTTAAAAGCGGAATTTCGAAGCGGGATTTAAAAGCGGGATTTAAAAGCGGGATTTCGAAGCGGGATTTAAAAGCGGAATTTCGAAGCGGGATTTTCCGGGGGGATCGCGGCGCTGCCTCCCCCCGGCCCCCGCGGGCGCAGCTGAGCCGCGCTCGCCACCCCCGGGCCGGGGTCGCCGCCCCCGAGCGGGGCTGGCAGAGATGGATGGGCCACGGCCGGGGATCGATAGGGAACGCGGCGGCGAATTCGGGGTGAGGGGGACCCCAAAACCTCCCCCGCGAGAGCAGCGCGGCCGCCCGGGCGGAGCGCGCGTTGAGGAACGATCATGACCAAAAATTAGGACGAAAATGATCAAAAACCAAATTAAGCCGAGCCCCGGCGCGGCTTGGCCTCGCCCTGCCGGCCATGAAGAGGCTCTGAAAGGCTTTGAACCCCCCTGAAATCCCCCAATTCCTGCGGGCAGAGCCCCAGGAAAGCGGCGGCGGCAGCGAGGGGATTTTATTGATTCCTGACTCCGCCTCAGCGCCCAGACCACACAAATTAAAGCAAAGGTGGGCGAGCCCCGCTCTGAAACGGCAGCGGCGACCCCAAAATGCCCCAAATGCCCCAAATCCCCCCGGCAGCTCCGCCGTTATCAGCTCGAGCCCTGATAAAGTTTTATCGCAGCAGCGCCGCAGTTGAGCTGAGGTCAAACCCAAAGATTTCTTTGGAGCCCTAAAGCGCTCAAACCCTCGTTCCCACCTTTCTGTTATTTGGATTTTTAGGGGTTTTTTGGGGGGGGTTTTAATGGCTTCGGGGTTTGTAGTGTTTGTGTCAACTACATATTCCCCTAGATGCGAATTTGTGACCCAACTTCCTCTACACAAATTCGGATCTACAGGGTACATATAGAAGACAGTTGCGTCCTCCTCGGTCTCAGATCTTCTCCTACCGCCACAATTCTCTTCTGGGGCAAAATTTGGGGTTTTTGGGAGATCGGGGCTGCGCCCCAGGAGAATTCCCCGCCGAGGGGGAAGCGCGATTCGTTAACGCAGCGAGGCTGCAGAGCGCGCAGAGAGGAAAATCGGGATTTTCCCTCCTTTTCCCTGCGCACCTTGGGCGTTATTTTGGGGTGAAAACATCGGGTCCTGGGGTGAAGGTGGAGGCGCGGGCGCGCAAGGAGACGCGGACCCCAAAATTCCGCTTTTTAAAAGAGAAATTCCCCCAAGCTCCGCGGCCACCCCGCCCTGGAAGCCTCGTCACGATTTTTCTGGTGGGCAGCGCAAAGATTTCACCCATTTCTCGTTGCTGGAGGTCACCCAAGGTTTGGGTTTAGCCGTGCGGGGAAATGGGAAAAGAGAAAAAAAAGAAAAAAGGGGAAAAAAAGGCAAAAAAAAAGGGAAAAAAAAAAAAAAAAGAGAAAGAAGCAGATGAAAAGAAATCCAGAATGTAAAGGCAGATGGGACGACAGGTTTTTTTTTAATGGCAGGCAATTCTTTTTACAACCCGAGAAAAAGATCAAAGGCGTTTCGTTTCCGAAAAAAGGGATATAAAGCAATAAAATATTCATACTGTCTAGGTAATGAACCTTCATTCGGAACTAATGAGGGTAGCATCATGTTGAGATTTCCTTTAAAATTACAGTTGCCCAAGAGATTCAAAGTAGCGCAGCCCCCCCCTTTCTTTTCTCTTTTTTTCCCCCTTTTTTTCTGCTTTTTCCCCCTTCTTTTCTCTTTTTTTTTTCTTTTTTTTTTTTTTTTGTATTTCAAAAGGCAGAACATTTTCAGGTCAAGTATCTCCCGAATTAATTGCATTTAAATGCCGCGGCGGAGAGGGCATCAGGGAAAAGCTGCATTTACAATTCCTGTCAATGCATTCGGCGGATTCCGAGAACTCCCGCATTTTCCATTAGAAAAATAAAAAAAAAAATTAAAATTTCTGGCCAAGAATAAAACCCCCGAATTCTCGAATTCTCCCCGTGCTGGATTTTTCAGGCACTTGCAGGTGAAAAAATCGCTTTTCCTGCTGAAATCTCCCAGCTGAACCCCGAATAACCCAGCGGCGCTCGGAGAACAAACCAAAAGCATCCAAGAAATCATTTCAGACCCTTTAAAAACCCCCACATTTCCGGCAGAAATTCCCACCTCAAAATTCACCTTTTCCTCTAAAACCTGCCCGGAAAGTGAGGAGGAACCAACACGGCGGCCACGGACGCCATAAAACACCGCAATAAATCCCGTTACGGCTCCTTCTGGGCTTTAATTTCACTTTAATCCCCTCTTTAGCTCTTTTCGATTTTATTCCTCCTTCCCGGCCCCTCCAAGCCGTTTTATTTATTCCATTTTCTCTAGGAATAGCCAGGCCTTATTCTCGATTTTTAACCCCCTCCCACATCCCTTAAAAAAAATAATAAAATAAATAAATCGGGGTTTTTTTTGACAGCGCAGGGCCGGCCTTTGCCGAGCAGCACCCCTAGCGTCTGCCGGGATTCATTTTCCCCCAAAACACCTCCGAGGAATCTCCCCCGATCCCAAATTCCCAAGCCGCCCTTCACCTTTGGCGCAGCTTTCTCGCTGAATTTTTATTGGGTTGGGGTTTTTTGGTTTTTGGGGTTTTTTTTTTGGCCCCGTTTCAGAGCGGCGCGGGGTGACCTCGGGGGCACCCCCGGATTGTTCATTTTGAGGAGGGGGTCCCCAAACCCTTCCCCAGAGGGGGGGTCCGGCCGCGCTTCCTACCTGGGCTCAGCGCGGCTCCTTCTGCTCGGGGCGCTCCCGCAGGGCTGGGGGAGCTGGGGAGGCGAAATCCCCCAAAAAACCCCAAAAAACCTCCCCAAAATCCTCCCCGAACCCCGCACGGGCCCCTCCCCGCTGCCCCCGCTCCGCTTTTATATCGCGATAATTGCCCCGAACCCCCAAATTTCCCTTTCGCTGCTCCCAAACCCCAAATTTCCTTCTCGCTGCTCCCAAACCCCCAAATTTCCCTCTGGCTTTCCCGAAACCCCCAAATTCCCCTCTCTCTGTCCCTAAATTTCCCTTTCGCTGCCCCCAAATCCCCAATTTTCCCTCTGGCTTTCCCCAAATTTCCCTTTCGCTGCTCCCAAACCCCCGAATTTCCCTCTGGCTTTGGCCAAAGCCCCAAATTCCCCTCTCTCTGTCCCCAAATTTCCCTCTCGCCGTCCCCAAATTTCCCTTTCGCTGCTTCCAAACCCCCAAATTTCCCTTTCGCTGCTCCCAAAGCCCCAAATTCGCCTCTCAGTGTCCCCAAATTTCCCTCTCTCTGTCCCCATTTCCCCTCTCCCTGTCCCCAAATTCCCCTCTGGCTTTCCCCAAACCCCCAAATTTTCCTCTCCCTGTCCCCATTTCCCTCTCGCCGTCCCCCATTCCCCTCTCCCTGTCCCCAAATTCCCCTCTGGCTTTCCCCAAACCCCCAAATTTCCCTCTCCCTGTCCCCAAATTCCCCTCTCCCTGTCCCCAAATTTCTCTCTCCCTGTCCCCATTCCCCTCTCGCTGTCCCCAAATTTCTCTCTCTCCGTCCCCATTCCCCTCTCTCTCCCCTCCTTCCTCCTCCTCCTCCTCCTCCTCCTCAGCTCCGTCCTGTTCCCGGTTTTCGGGGTTATTTTCGGGGTTATTTTCGGGGTTCTTTCCGCTCCCCGCTCCGCGCCCCGCGTTGTCCCGGCGCTGCCGCGGAGGCCCCGGAGCGCCGCGGGCTGGGAAAGGCGCAAGTTTTGGTATTAATCTCATACTTTGGCAGTCTTTGTTAAACAGCGAGGCGTGTCCGCAGCCGCGCTGACCCGCGCTTCACCCCAACTTTTAATTTTTTTTTTTTTTTTGGCTTCTTTTTTTCTCCTTTCCCACCCGCCCCGAGGTGTTTTCCCCTCTCCGGTCTTTTCCCCTCTGCGAAGATGGGGATTTATTTGGTTTAATTCTATTTTTTTTTGCTTCTTTTTCTCCTTTCCCACCCGCCCCGAGGTGTTTTCCCCTCTGCGAAGACGGAGATTTATCTGGTTTAATTCTATTTTTTTTTGCTTCTTTTTCTCCTTTTCCACCCGCCCCGAGGTGTTTTCCCCTCTCCAGTTTTTCCCCTCTCCGGAGATTTATTTGGTTTAATTCTATTTTGTTTTTGCTGCCTCTCCCCACACTCAGCCCGTCAGAAACTCCATAAATTTTGGCGATCCTAATTTTATTTCTTTTTATTTTTTTTATTTAAATTTGGCCAGAAACTCCATAAATTTTGGCGATCCTAATTTTATTTCTTTTTATTTTTTAATTTAAATTTGGCCAGAAACTCCATAAATTTTGGCGATCCTCATTTTATTTCTTTTATTTTTTTTTATTTAAATTTGTCCAGAAACTCCATAAATTTTGGCGACTCTAATTTTATTTCTTTATTATTTTTTTTA